GGAACATAAAAATTAACCTCATTTAAATATAACTTCGTATTCGTGTGAATTTCTTGTTCAAATCAGGCAGTAGCAGTTAAACATCTTATAGTCTCACTTGATATTCTTGACTCATTATTGACTAACTAAAACAAACTACACTGATGAACTAATATAACGACCCATTTAACCAAGTCAATATGGTTTTATACTCACATAATGCTAGCAATACCAATAAGATACACTATAAGTAAGCTTCATGGAACATACATTGGACATGGGACTTACGGGTTATTGAACGCTTTGCATCGACTCTTGCATCAATATGCAGAAGAGTGGTGCGCGAAGAATTAATTTATAGATTTTTAGATAACACACATATTACAAATTGTATAAGTGACGCTCTGTACACGCAAATAGTTTAATCAAAGTGTGCACAGGCTAAAGGATGGTGTTCTACAGGTGCGCACCATAGTTACGTAAATTCTTATCTTACTCTATACTGACACGTGGTCGATTGTTTGAATGAATGTTGTTCTGCACCCATATCTATGACACACTTGGTCCTTGTCTTCAGCGTATATGAGACAAATCAATAACACTACATTACACATACGATGAAACTACAATTTTGTTCTTAGTTCATTATGAAATGTTTTCTAATCTTGTAAGAGGATTCTAAGTGCGAGTGTAATTATTTTCCAGATAAATCCACAGTGACCATAGAAATAACACTTGGTGAAGGTTATGATTTGGAGTTAATTTGTACAGATTTTGGTGTTCCTTCTCCATTCAAATATACATGGAATCGTATTGATAATCAAGGCAATACAATCACACTATCAGAAGTGACTGATACTTTACAGGTATATAATATCCAACCTTCAGATGCTGGTACTTATATATGTACTACTACTGTTAAATACTATGATGATACAGAAGACATTTCATCAGATACTACTAGCATAATTGTGTATTGTGAGTATAATCACATATGTCACATATGTCACATTTCCGGATATGATGTCACATATAGTCATTATTTTTTTTTTTGAAAAAATCAAGATGTGGACTACATAATAATGATTAAAAGTTGATTATTTAGAAAACGAAAAATGTATACAAAGCTTTTTATAGGTCATTATATTGTTTACATTGTCTTGTTCTTTAAAATCTTCACATTTAGTTAGAATACGCGTCAATTGTTATGTAACATGTTCTGAAAAACAAAACAATTCTTTAAACTATGAATTGTATAATTTTTGTATTATATTGGTGTTTTCTGGTACTTGTACATCTCACAGATTCTCCACGAATCAACAAAGAAATCAGTAAATCAGGCGCCAGTAAAGGTGATACTGCAACTATTGTGTGTGAAGTTGATGCTTTGCCAATTTCTGACATAACATGGTATAATAATAATGAATATGAAATGGACAATAGCAGTGAAAGAATACTTATCACAGAATTCGTAGATCACAATATTAGACGTAGTATATTATGGATATTTAATGTATTACCAGAGTCTGACTATGGTGTGTATAACTGTACAAGTGTTAATAGATTAGAATCTGATAGCCATCTTATTACACTCAATGGAACAAGTAAGTATCATAATTTATGGGCTCAGCTTTCAAAAATGCTATCAGCGTAATTGTCCTAATTCCCTATTAACTCTTAACGCCCTTAAAAATCATGTTATATCAACCCTATGGTGACACAATCTTGTTACGAATGGTATAATAATTTGCCATTGCCCCCTGTGACGTTACTCTGCTGTATGCCTCGATTTATCTTTATTATGATACTACAAAGTATGCGCAAAATAGTTAGTATGGAATGATAGCTGATGTGGTCCCATACGGCATATTCAGTGTCTGAACACCATACATATGTAAATTATGTACTGAGTTAAAACAGTATTTACATGTCTTGTATCGAAATATAAATTTATCTTCATGTACATATTTTTGCTTGACAAACATACCAAGGACACAAGTTAATATTGATCTAATTGATCGCTCCTATAATAGCTTAACAATTAATCTGATGCCAATGTTCGACCAAGGAGTTTTGGACAACAAATATAATGTATATTATATAGAATACCGCTCACAATTGAATGCATCGTTTCTACATTGGCCATCAAATGGAAGGGGAACAACAAACACGACTTTTGTAGTTCATGACTTAGAACCATCTACCACCTTTGAATTCCGAGTAAAATTGAAATCTGACAATGAATTCAAAGTTATGTCTAGGATATATGTGTTCAACACTTACTGTAAGTCGGTGTATTTTACACATAATTAACGTAGTATTTGAGGATTTTTAACACATTCCTTTATTAATATCATCGTAGTATATGTTTTATGTTGTGTCGCTTGCTCCGTTCGTTTGTAACAACGTATAATTGCGACGATATGCAACATTGCATACAGATATAATGTTACCTATTCTTGCTTTTATTGGCCAATCGATAATCACCGACTTTTTCAAAGTGTACTCAATTCTGTAATCTCCTAGTAAATTTAAGATGTTTCTGTGTCACATAGTGGCAATACAAAACCCCTCGGCTTAGTCTTTCGGAATACGAATAACTAAATAACAAATTATGTTCTTTTTTTAATTACTTGAAATGAATTCGAATTGTGCCAGGTGATCATTCTGTTGCCGTGACAAAATAATGGAAAGTATGACGTCTCATTTAAGTTTTCACAAGAAATGAAAGTGATGAGCATACAGTCTGAACTGTTACGATACAATATGTGTCTCCATATACCTCATATAGAGAACATAACTAACTAAAAATGTTTATTTCCGCAGCTCTGCCGCTCCTCACCATAAATCATCATATGGGTATAATTAGTTGGACACGTCACGAAGACACAAACTAACAATGTGTGAACATAGAAAAGCAATTGGCAGATCATAACTGGGATGTACTTGAATCATGTATTGACAGAGATACATT